ACCATTACTGAGAATGTTTACCATTACTGAGAAACTTAATTACCAAATAAGACTCAGCAATTATTTATTCTAAAGTTAAAATAGTTTTTATGTTTATACAGCTGTTGTTTTAAAATTATATTTATACAACATAACTGGCATGGTTATGCCGTATAAATATAATTTTAACACACCATTTTTGATATCACAGCAGATATCGCAAAACTAAATTTTTACATGAAAATTCACTTCACAAAACTTTATTTATATATCAAACCCAACCTCAAAAATCTGTTTTCACACATCACAACAGAATCCATAGGAGTCAGTAAACTCCAGAAATTAGATAAAACAATACCCTGTTTTATGGTAAAGTAATTTTTGACCATTTTAAAATAAAAACAGTTATCAAACATTTTGAATTAGATTTTTTGTTTTCTACTTTGGGTTCAGCATACTCAAAAATGGTCAGGTACCAATTTTCAGTCAGTTTCTTTTACTAAAACTTAAATTATTTTCATCATAAAGAATTTGAGTCCAAATTAAAATTTTTTTGTATAAGCTTCAAAATGACAAATCTAAATTATTCTTCAAAAAATCAAAACCATTTTTATTATAAAGATAGTTTAAGATCACCTACTTTGTTGAGAAAAAAAATTGAATCCATGAGGCTCGGTCAACTCTAGGATTTAATGAAAGCGCAACCAATGATAACAGAACAAAAAGTTTGACTGAACATTTAAAAATCAAAACATTTAAATTTAATTATTTTCTGTACATTTTTTATTTCAGAACCCTCAAAAATGGTCAGGTACCCAACCCTCGGAATTAGGAAGAATGAGGTTGGCAATTATTTGCCGACCTCAATCTTTTAGAGGTCGGCATCAGGTCAGCAAAAAAAAATTGATACAAAGGTTTTACCATAAAACATAAAAACAAGCTCGGCAATATTTGCCGACCTCAAACACTTTTAGGTCAGCAGTTAGGTTGTCATTGCCAAATGCCAACCCTAATTCCGAGGGTTGGGTACCAATTTTTACCCACATACTTCCACTAGATCTTAAATTATTCAATAAAAAGTACTACTGCAATGTCCATAATAGCGTTTCTGGAAAAAAATTAGATTTTTTTGGCTGAATTTTAAAATGTAAGACTTTTGAACCGTTTGGATTTGGGAGCTTAAACTTAAAGATTAAACATTTTTTCATGTTAAATTATAGTTACCACTGGTTGAAATTTGAAATAAATCTGATAGGGTGACTGAAAAATTTAAATTTTTTGTCCCACTTATACATGGAATCACCCCATATAATAAACTAAACTTTTTGCATTATATAGAATTTTTTTGAGAAATTGTTTATTTTGGCTTTGTTTACAAATTTGTTTTTTTTTAAGATAATGTTTATAAGATTTAATTTAACAGCTGAATGTACATATACTTTTATTACCATAATGTTGTTTTTAGAATAATTTTAATTTGTGTTGTTTTATTGCTATACTTAGAAGTAACCTATTTAAGCATTGTTGTCAATATGTGTTTTAGTATAGCTTTCTTTATTTCTATATGATTGTTATTAAGATATCTAATTTACTAATAAATTACGAATAAACTTTAACTAAACTGCTTATCTTAGTAGCATTTTCTTTTTAAAATTGAAATAAAAAGCCTTCCCCTAAAAGTGCATTTATTTTTTTAATTAAATTAAAAAAAACAACTAAATAACGTCTATTTATTTAACTTTGCTTTTTTAATACCGTTTAATATAATGGTTTATCTCTGATTTGGGCCCGAGTATTTATTTACCAGTTCTGATTCCATAAAAGTGTTTACACAATGTAAAGTTGTTTGGTTTTATGTTTTTAAAATTTTAATAATTAGTTAATTGGCCTTTACCTATTCACCTGCATCAATTTCGGCATCAACCACAAATGTGCTATCAGTAAATCACTAATATATATATACATAAGTATAAATACAATATATATATATATATATATATATATATAATATTATATATATATATATATATATATATATATATATATATGTATATAATATATATATATATATATATATATATATATATATATATATATATTATATATATATATATATATATATATATATATATATATATATATATATATATATATATATATATATATATATATATATATATATATATATATATATATATATATATATATATAACTAATACAGTGAAAAATATATATATATATATATATATATATATATATATATATATATATATATATATATATATATATATATATATATATATATATGTATTTTTTTAAGGCCTCAATTACCTTATGAGTCATAAAAAGTTTGTTTGGTCTGATCATACTAAATGGAATCTAAAAATACCTATTGAAAGTATATTATCTCAAACAAGTAATATTTCAATTGCAGTAGCGAGATGTGTGGTAATAAATGCTGATAGTTGGAATGCTCAAAATTGTTATAATACCTATGGATACATTTGCAAAGTAAAAAGAGGTAACTTTATGAAAATTTGATAGACTTTAATGAATTTTTGGTTTTTGAGCGGCTCAAAGTTTTTATGTTTTTCTAGTTTTTGTGTTTTCATAATTTTGAATATATTCATTTTTTATTTTAAAATATATAACTATAAAACTATTCGTATATTTGTTTATTAAATAGACCCATTAAACTGTTTTTAGTCATAAAATATTAAAGGAATAATAAAGTTAGTTAAAAAAAAGCGATAAAAATTTAATTTAAAATCAACATCTTATCTATCTTGCTTCAAAGTCAATAGCAAATCTGTGCATAAAAGGTTATCGTAGTTTTTGAGCAGTATTTCATCTATCTCTTCCTTTATAAATTAACATGATAATAATTTATTTATTAATATGATAATTAATAGCTAATTCCTCAAGTATTTCATTATGTAATAATAAAATCAAAATTCACTCAGTTATTTCTTTGTTAAGTATAAAGAATAAGAAATAACAAGTCTATTTTATTGAAATTTGAGGTTTATATAGAGTTATTTATTTAACTAGTTGTAAAAAAAATTTTTTGAAGACAAACTTAAACAGAATTAAGCAACTTAACTAGATTTGAAATTTTTGCTATTTTAAAAGTGTTCATAGTTTTCAATATCGTTAAGCTATTCTGCATTTAAAATTCTTGCTATTAATTGCCATTAACTTATGGCAGTTTAAAAATTTGTCATTTTTGATACTAATGCAATATAATGTTTAATACAGGTATTTTATTTAATACTTTTTAAAAAATTTTAAGAATTTTGATCCACGTTATAAAAGTGCGGATTAATAACTTGGTTATTTTAATGAAATTTAATGATAATAAATAGCAGTTGTTTTTTTACCAAATATATAACAGTTTATGATATTTTGTGAATAATTGAACATATTTATTATAGTTCAATATATTCAATTAGTAAAAACATCTGTTATAAAATATAAAACATCAAAGAGAAAAAATTGCTTTGATGGCTATTTAAAAAAAATAAAGTTTAAAATAAAAATTGAAGCATAAACGATGGTTATAAGAGAGATTTTCTCCACTCTCGCACTCATTTACTCCCACTGAGGCATATATATATATATATATATATATATATATATATATATATATATATATATATATATATATATATATATATATATATATATATATATATATATATATATATATATATATATATATATATATGTAAAATGCCGATTAATCTACCACCCCTAATATATATATATATATATATATATATATATATACATATATATATATATACATATATATATATATACATATATATATATATGTATATATATATATATATACATATATATATATATATATATATATATATATATATATATATATATATATATATATATATATATATATATATATATATATATATATATATGTATATATATATATATATACATATATATATATATATGTATATATATATATGTATATATATATATATATATATATATATATATATATATTAGGGGTGGTAGATTAATCGGCATTTTACATTAATCGATTAACGATTAAATTTCCAAAAATTAATCGAATAATTTTCGATTAATTTAGGTAAAATGTGTTTATAACTTAACAAAAAGTAATTTATTTTTTTTATGATTTTATTTCTCTTTTCATCAAATATGATCTTAAAAAACATAAATTATTAATAGTGTCATCATTTAAGCTAGTTCTTAAATTAGTGACAAATAAACCAGCTGCACTAAAACTTCTTTCTGCTTCTATAGAAGGCGGGGGAAGACTTAGCATGACATTGTAAATCTTTTCTAAAGAACTTGGCCTGTTTCCAGTACTTTTGAGTACTGCAATTTCACGTTTAATGCAAGTCAAAACTTTTTGAGGGAAAGACTTACAAGTTAGCCCTTTAGTTTTTCCTGCTGCTGAAGTTGTATAAGATATTATTTCTACTAATTCTTCAGCTTTAGTTTTTTTTCTTAATGGTTCTGTATTACAAGTAGACTCTAACTCAGACTCATATGCTGCTTCTACTTGCTCGTGTAGAAATAAACATAGGTATATTCCTTTTGCAGTTTTAGCAATTTTATTTTTATGCGGGTATTTCAAAAGATTATCTGGAAATTCTGAGTCTGATTTATAGTCAGCTGGGTTTTGTAAACCAGCAATATTACAGTAAACCAGCAATATTACAATTTCTTCTTTCAACAATTCTCTCCGAGAAAACAGTAAATAAATTTTGACTAATGTTAGTATTTTGTTCTTTAAGATTTTGTAGTAAAAACAAAATAATTTTATCAGATTTTATCAGATCACAGTCTCCTTTCCCTAGTTCCATAACACTTAACTCTACAACATGTAGAGCCTGAACAATATCAAAAACGTGTTTTATTTCTTCTTCTTTTGAAATTAAATCTGTTCTAGATATATCAACAAGAGCCTTTGCAATAACATTTTTTAACTTTAAAAATCGTTTTAACATATTTATTAGAGAATTCTATCTTGTTTTAGTATCCAAAATAGGCTTAATTTTTTTCCTAAGTTTGTTCTACAAATATTTTGAAGGGAATCGTTTTTAAGTGGAGATTTTCTGAAAAGTTTGACTATTTTACGAACCTTCGATATGATGATGCCATAAAACTGCATTAAATGCATTAAATGAATTTCCTGTGAAACAGAAGCATTAAACTGGATTAAATGCATTAAACTGGATTTCCTGGATTAAATGCGTTAAACTGGATTAAATGCATTAAACTGGATTTCCAAACAATGCATTTAACTGGATTTTCTGTGAAACAGAGCTAATACTTTCCTCATTCCAGCATTCTTCAGTGTCGTTTTCATCATCAGGGTTGGACTCATTTTCATTCTCATCACAAATTATTTCTTCTTGAGTTGTTCAGAACATTTTAAACATGATTCTATAACTTCTGCTGGTCGACCTCGCTTCACAACTGGAAGTATTTGTCTGAAGTCTCCACCCATAAGAATAACCTTACCACCAAAAGGAAAATTGTTATTACAAATATCTTTTAATAGCTTATCAATGGCACTCAAAGCATATTTGGGTATCATAGATGCTTCATCAAGTAAATACAAACTGATTTGTCTCAGGAATCTACCATGAATAGAGTTTGGAGTTACATTACATGTGCTAGTTTCCAAAATTGGAACAGGAAGTTTGAATAAGCCATGCATTGTGCACCCATTTATGAGAAGAGTTGCAGCTATTCCTGTCCATGCAGCTGTTGCAGTTCTAATATGCCTGCTCTGTGTTTCAGAAATTAAATAATTGTAAGTAAATGTTTTACCACAACCGGCAGACCCATCCATAAAAAACAACCTTGAATGCTTATTTTCATTAGTAGGTTCCACACTTAGTGCAGCAAGGATCGCATCAGCTACATTACGTTGATTATCATTCAATAATGGTCTAACTCGGTTTGCTTCATCAATAAACACTTGAACATCTTCATCATCATTTTCTGGGACATTATCTAAAAACTGATCTAAAGCTGGCAAATTATAATCAACTAAGGTTTTACCACTCTGATTAATTATAGATTCAATTTGACGAAGAGCTGCCTGCTCAGCAAGTACGACTGGCATTGAATGGTGTATGTAATCCTCAACCATATAATTTTTAAATGTATTCCAAAGGTGTAAAGGATCATCAGGTTCACATAAAGTTAATATGATGGAAAACAGTAGCCTAATTTGTTTAGGCATCCGAGTTGCAGCAGCTTCAGTTAATGTATTTCTCCACTCAATGTCATCTTGCAATAAACCTAAATGATAACTTGCTTCACGAAATGTATTAAAAACAGTACCATGAACAGTACGCAAATCCTCAAAAGACTTTGCACCTTTTACATGCAAAAGTAACAATCTGAGAAAAAATAATTCGCAAAATGAACTGACTTTATACATTCGAACAACCACCTTATCACTACCTCTTTGTCTTACTTTCCACAAGCAATTTTTACCAAAAACAAAGTGATATGGAATTTCAACATAAGAATACTGACGTGCTTCATTATTTTCAGCATTTAACTTAAACCAAGCGGTTAGGTGAGTGTCACGCTGTGCTGCACGATCTATAGCTACTTGTTCTTCTCCTTCGTTAAAATATACTCTCTGATTATCAGGAAGGTGGATTTGAAGGCGGATAATAGTATGTGACATATCACTTATGGAATACTCATATATTCGCCAAAGAGCCTCTGGGGCGGAAACAAAGCGACAGTCTAAATATGTGTTAATTTCATCATGGTCAACACTTTCATTTATTACCACATTCGCACAATCATGCCCCTTATAGACATATTTGTATAAATACTTCACTGACTTAATAGACATGCAAGCTTCAACATTAATGTGGGCTTGGTATTTTTTTGATAACCAGGGGTTATAGGGTACGACCCATCGATTATCAACTTGGTTACCTTTTATAATGACTACTCTACCATTATCTAAACGCCTATAGTTAGGATAACCATTGAAAATTGCAACAGTGCAAGGATTAAACTCTTTAGGAAATTTTTTTTGTGCAAACTCCATCTTTCATGCAAGGAGAATTGGGATTTAAAATCCCACATGGTCCATGAATCATACATGTTTTTACAATTTCAAAAAGTTCAGGATCAACAGTTTGATCTGGAATTTCAGCTGATATTAAACTATCAATATCCTCTGCTGTTTCTAGCTTATCATCGTTTACAAAGTGTAATAAAATATGCACATGTGGCAAACCACGTTTTTGAAACTCAATAACCTGTACATGAATTACAACTTTGCCTAAGACTCCATGTTTAAAAATATCACCTAAGAAGCATTTAAGTTTCATCTTAAATACGCGACAAACTAAATCAGGCCTGTCAGTTGCGCTCTCACCTGGATTTAAATTTTCTGTAATTTCTCTCCATTTTGAATTACAGGTAAAAGTAATAAAAAGATCTGGTTTACCATATTTCTTTATAATTGCCATTGTATCTTCA